GAGAGGGTATTTATAGAATTAAAATAGTTATTTTAAAAAGTACTAATACTATATTACTTTAATCCAATATTAAGGATTTAAATAGAGATAAACGTATTGGACTTTATAATTAGGGTAGTTCTTATATAACTATATAGCGATAAATAGTATTTGGTTATATTCTTTTTAAAGAAGAAATTACTAAAGGAAACGAAGTACAAAATTAGAGACGGAGAATTATTAGCAATTATAAAGGCATTAAAAGTATAGAAATAGTGTTTATTATATATAGATAAACTATTTTTAATAATTATAAATTATTTTAATTTATAGTACTTTTAGGAAAAGGAATAGGCGAATACGAAATAGAATTAGTAAGTATTAGAACTAGTAATATATAATTTTAGGATAGAATATTAGTTAGGATAATTAAATTTAATAAACGGACTATTAAAGAAGTTATAATTATAGGGGGTAGAACCGGAAGGAGGAAGTAAATACTTATTAATTAGAATTATTAAAGGGGGTAAAGCGAAAGGACGGGTAATAAAGGACGGCCGAGTAGCGAAGGTATTAATAAGAAGGGTAGTCTTAATTAGAAAGGAGAGTTGAAGGGTAATAGCGGAAGAATAGGAGTAATAGTAGGACAATATTAAAGGGGAAATAAATTAGGAATCGGAAGGGGAGAGGAATAAATTATATAAAGGGTAGAAGAAATAATTAAAAGCGGAGGAAAAGGACGGGAAGGAAGGGGTATTAATAAAGAGAATAAAATTTATAGATAAAACCGCTACTAATATAAAAAGGGAAACGAAGGGGGTAATTATAAGAAAAATAAGTATATATATAATAGTAATAAAAGTATAGAAAAATAATAAGCACTTACTACTAATAGGGCAATAATTATTAGAAGCGTAGAAAGAAGATTTATTCATTATTAGAAAATTATAAAAGGATAGAGAAGGATAGAAGCGAATAAAGAATCAAAAGATAGAGGAAAATAGAATTCTACAATACTACTACTAAATTTACATTCTAAAATATATAAGAGCCAAACTATTCTATACTTATTATAATAATATAATAATTAAATACTTAAATTAGAGAAAAATATTAAAGCAAATTAATTAATTCTATTATTAACCTACTATCGCAATTAATATTAAAGCTTACGTTCGCAAATACTTAGTATATTAGAAAACTAAACTGTATAATTACCGACCCTATAACCTTTTAAGATTACTACCTATTCTTATAATCCTTTAATAAAATATTTTATACAATTTTATTATTAGCCTATTAGAAATATTCGACCCTATATTTAACCGGACCTACAATACAATTTTAATTATTCTTAATTATTTTATTAAATATACTTTATATATTCCTACGCAAAAGACGATCGACGCTCAATAATTTACCTTCCTCTTCTAATAAAATATTTTCTAATAATTCAGCCTCCTAAATTCTATTGTTTTAAATAGAGGTAATCTTTTTATTAATTAATTTTGGAGAATATATTATAAAATTTTAAATATCCGTAAGCGTCTTAGTACGGCCTAGTACCCTTAAATAGATAAGTAAATAAAAAGGCAAAACTAAAATTTAAAATTATATTTTCGAATCTTTTATAAAATAGAATAGACTAATTAGGCCGAAAAGTTTATACTAACCTAATAAACGTATAATAACTATTTCTATACTACTATTAGAAAATCCCTATTGGAATTACTCTTCGGATATTATCCGCAGGGGCCTATAGACCCGGATCGGAGGCGAAAGACAATACTCCCTATAATAATTACCAACCGAATTGCAAAATTACTTTAAAGTCGAATAGAAATCATCGAAACTTTAAAGATTATTAATTAAAAATATATAAAGTAATATAATAAAGCCTAAAAACCGAAGGAGTTCGATATAAAGAATTAAACCTTATTTAATACGAAGTATATTAAATAATAAAGCCCGAATATTAAATTAACTAATAAACTTTTAGGATTATTCTAAATTACTAAAATTATTAAGGATAAAAAGATAGTATACCATTTTATACTCCTAGTACAATACCGAATTTACTTAATATTCTTAATTACTTTACTAGAATTATATTATAATAATTTAACTACAATTATACTATAAAAAAAAATTATAAATATTAAGGAAAATAATATTTAGTACAAAATTAAATCGATTATAAAGTATCGAGGGTCCGGCTATTAATATTCATTCTAAATTAAATAGAAGGGGTATTCGGACAATAAGAATTCGTAGGTTCTACGAAAGGATATAAACTACCTAGGTTTTTTTAAGAATTATAAAGTAAGAGAAGTATAATAATAGAAAGACTAAAATAGGCTAAATACTAAATTAATAAAAATTAATTAAATAAAGGTAGGAGAATAATAAATATTCGGCGCTTAAAAATATAAAATAAAAATATAAAACGAAGACATATAACGCAAATGTAAAATGTAAAACGAAGATATAAAACGTAAAACGTAGATATAAAATATAAAATGAAAATATAAAATATAAATATAAAATATAAAGCAAAAATATAAAACGTAATTATAAATTAAAAATTTAAAGGGAAGGGATGTAGGAGAGTATAAGAGGGATAGTAGAGAGGAGGGCAATATACTAAAATAGTAATAAGAGAAAGTTAATTAGAATTATTATAGAAAATTAATAAAGTATTAAGAAAAATATAATTTATATTCTCTATTATTACCTCTAAACGAAAAATTCCTCAGCGGTACTAATTATAATCGATATAGAATTAAAACCTATAACCTTAGGAAGAATACTCCTACGTACTACCGCGCCTATCGATATTATTAACCGGTACTACTATATACTATCTACTCTTTATAATCCTCTTAAACGAATATTAATAATTTATTTAATTTTATATCTATAACGTTTAACTTTCCATTAATAATATAGTACTACGGGCCCCAATTGTAATTAGTAGGGAGGGTAATATAAATAAGGGGATTTTATACTAAAATACTTATTAGAAAGCTACTATTACTATTAAAAGGATTACTACTAACGGCTACTAGACCGCTGTTATCCTCGGTATTACTAATAATATAATAACCGAAACTTTAATACCGTTTAATATTAAAATAATTAGCGTAGAATATATTAGGCAAAATTGTAGGAAGGTTATTAGTAATTAAGCGCGCTTATATTATATCTTAGAAAAAGGATATATATTAGTATAGATACTATAAAAGAATAGTAAATAAAAGGGTAATAATATTAAATAAAAGCTATAACTTTAACCGCTATAGCCTATAAAATATTCTAAAAATTATATATATTATAAGGGACTTCCAATATATATTTACCTTATACTAAAGTATATTACAATTTCTTAATAAATTCTAAAGGATATTAATGAGGAAGGAAATAAAAAATAGCGAAGAAGAAAGACTAACCCTTAATCTAATAAATATATAAAGTAATTAACTAGATAGCTTTATTTAAATTAAGGGGGCCGATATCTACGAACGCCTAAACTAAAATAATACTATATCCTATATTAATTAAAAGGTAGACTTTACTATAAAAGATTAATAAAAAACGTAGGAAGATAGAATAATATAATAAATAAAAAATTGAAGAGAAGGAAAAGCGTATTAGTTAAGCTCGAAGGCGAAGTAGCGATTCGTATATAAAACAACGGTAGAAATATATATATCGGTAGTAGGGGCCGGCTCTAATAAAAAGGAGGGGATAATCGAAATAGCTTTAAAACTAAGTAGAAGGGAAAAGTTAACGAATTCGTCGGGGGAGAAATTAATAAATATAATTATAGAAGTAAAATTATAAGGAAGAAGAAAGAAGAGTAAAGAAGGGAGGGGGAAGGGGATATTATATAAATAATAGAGGAGGTCCTTATATAAATATAAATTGGAATAGGTAAATATAAAGTAAAATAAGGTAAAAGAAGCCGTAGGTAATAAAATAATAAAATAAAAAGGAATAAATAGAAGGAGGAGAAGCGAATACAAATAGCGGAGAAAGGAGAATAAAACAAATAAACAATAACTATAAACGTTAAAAAACGGAAAGGAAGGAGGTAGAACGAAAGTACGTAACTAGGAATAAACATTATATATTATAAGGGTAAAGTTCGGATAGAAAATACAATAATAAAATTAAGCCTAGAGAAAAAAAAGAGGCAGGATAATCAAGAGGGGAAACTTAATAATCCAGAAATACTAACGAACAATTAAAAAGCGTAAGTATATTAAAGGCGTAAGAGCTTTAAAAAATAAAGAAAAGGGTATTATAAGGGGAGAAGGTACCGACGCCGAAAATTAGAATAAGGGACTAGAAATTCTAAGGACAAAACCTATAAAGGGAGGGATTATATTAAAATACTAAAGGACTACCGCTTCGGGCACTAGGAACCGGCTGGTATAGGTATAAAAGGAGATTCGGGACCGCCGGAAACAAAATACTATAATACTATAATATTAATACTCTTTATTATTTTATTAAATTTTTACCTAGGAGTATTAAAATAACCAATACCTCTTTTCGCTTTACTAACTTTAAATTCGAGAGTATTAAAATATTTGATAAGATAGAGTTATAAGGGGGACGCTCCAGTGCTGCATTATAGTAATATACTAATCGGGAACTTTATAACAATTAATTATATTAGAATAGAATTTACACGAATATAAAAGTAGTCCGAACGAGCGTCCTTTATTATAGTCGGTAACTATTAATATATTTTTAAATTAACCCCTAACTTAACGTCCTCTACGTATAGCCGCGACTATAGTTACCTCAACCTACCTTTCCCTTACATTCTAATAGTAGCGTAGTTAATAATTATTTATTAGCATAGTAGAATAGTTTGGTTTTGGATATAAGGATAGTGTGTATATTGTAGAAGAGTTTGTTTAGAATATTTTTATTAAGGTTAATTAATATTACCCTTATCCTTAATTTAGTTAATAATTTATTATATAATTATTTAGTATTATAGAGTTATAATGATTGTATATAGTTTTACAGTAAGGGGTTGCCCTATAGAGAATTAATAGAGGGAGCCTTCGTTAATAATTAGAGTATTAGTAGGGGTAAGGCGTAGATATTGGGCGCCCTATTTAATTATAAGGAGCGTCCCCCTATGGCTGCGTTATATGAATTTTCTAACGATAATGTGTATAGGGAATTCGTAGTGCCGGTTCATATACACAATAGTAAGAGGAGGGTTGTTTTGTTTTTAGATCCTAAGCGAAAGAAGAAGAAGAGTAATAGCGAAGCTATTATTAATAGTTTTAAGTATTTGGCGGATGCCTTAGTTACTAGGGGTATTAATAATCCTACTTCCGTTATTAAATTGTATTTATATTTTACCGAGGCAGTAAAGATCTTTGCAAAGGATTGGGAGTATAAGATTTATTCGGTTATTAGTATTTATACTTTGCGCGAGTGGAAGGGTTTTAAGGTTAATGTATATTATTTTATAATTATTTTGAATAGAATAAGGTAAGCATATTTTAATATATTAAAGGGTAAATTAGGTATTTAAAATAAGGAGGAGGAGGAGGAAGAGGATTTGTTTATATTATAGTTATAAGAGGAGAAGGATTCTTTTAATACTAATTTAGTTAATATAATTTTATATTTGGTTATTTTATATTTAAATTAGTAAATATATTATATTATAGTAGTTTATTAGTAGTTTACTTAAATAAATAAGGTTCCTATAGATGGGAGGGAGCGGGAAGTAGGCTCAACCCTAGATTTGATTTTTATTATCTTTTTTAACTTTTTTTTATATTGAAACTTTAATACTAAAAAAAATATTATATATATAACAAAAAGTTATCCATTTAATTGCCGAAATAAATTAAATTAATATATTTATTTTATATCTATTTTGAGGTATATTTGTAATTAATGTAAATAATTCTATAAATTACTTTAATTAATAGTACGGGTTATTAAGATTATATAAATAGCGCTAATATTAATTAATATATTAAATATTAAATTTATACTTTTAATAGTAATTACTAATCTTTATACTTTTATATTCGAGAGTACTACTTTTAAGAAGGCTATATTTTGGGAGGTAATCGAGTAATTTGAATTAATAGTTCGATAAATACAATTTTGTTTAATTTAAGCACTTTGAGGTTAGTTTGGGCGGTTGGTACTAAATATATATATTTGCTCCCTTCTTTACTCCCTCCTTTTAATTATTCTATATTTCTCCCTTTTTTTTAAATCTCTTATAGTAATTTTGCTATATCCTTTTTATAATACAGTTACGATAAAGATTTATTTAATTATTTATCCCTTTAATTTTCTCCTAGTCTACTATTGCTATTGAAGGTAAGAAGTTTACTTTCTCCTCTAAAATTTAATAGGCTGCGGGGTTTACAATATTATATTTTATTTCCTTTATTTCGAGGTCGTACCCTTACTACTCCAAAATTTAATTTAATAATGTAGTAGTTGCGTATATTATTTTTATTTACATAGCGGGGTTGAAAGTTGGTAATATGCGATGGATTTTAAACGTCCCCTTCAACCGACCGATTATTTTTTTAATAATAATTTGAATTTGTAAGTATTAAAGGTTATATAACTCTTAATAGGTTATTAGTTTTAAACTAGTACGTTTAGTCTCTTTGAAGTAGTAATATACGTTGTAGTATAGTACAAGGAGTTTAAAACTACTATTATAACTAGCATTAGTTAAATAGATTTATCCTTTAGGGATATTAAAACTATTAGCGTACATATAGTTCAATACCTTTATATCGTTGGCCGACCCTTCCTAATTAAATTATATATATATAATCCTACTAGAAAGGTTATAAATTAATAAAATATTTATAGAAATACTTCCTTTATAGTTACACTATAGTCTTTACTCTTTATACGGTACCCTTACATTAAAGTATGAATTATTGAGAATTCCTAATACTTTACAAAAATATAGGTAGAATTTAGGGTTAGATTAAATTTTATATAGGGTAACCGGCTTAGGGAGTTTAACCTTCCTCTATACTAGTATAAGGTAAGTATTTAGAATTTTATAGAATATATTAGTAGTATATAAATATTTTATATAATAAATACTAATAAAGATTATTAACCGGTATATTATTTCTAGACTAAATCCGAGGGTATATATAATTATACGAAAGGTTAAACCTTATATTACAATAAAAAAAAAGATTAATACCTTCTTATATATTATAGTCCTCTTCCAGCCGGATAAGGTAGTATATTTACCGAACTATATTATTAACCTATAGAAGGTATGCGGCGTTATTTTTAAAAAAATTTTTGGAAGCAGTCCGGATATTTATAAATAAGCTCGTATACTATTAATTAACTATTTCTACCAGTATTTATAGGAATACGGTAGGCCTATAGTATTAAGCTAGTATTAATAAGTATTACAATTACTAATATTGCCCATATATGACGATGGTATAATATTTAGCAGCATTGTATAAGGGCGTTAGCAGGTATAGTAATTAATTTAATCAATTTATTATTAACAATAAGGGTAGTTACGTAGGGGGTTGAAATATAGACTCTACGTTTAGAATACTAACTCAGTAGCTAATTCGATTTTGAATAGTTTAGAATCGATTAATTTAGATTTTTAGTAGATTTACACGATTTTATTAGCCGTTTTAACGAAGTAGGTCAAGAAATTTCAGAATCGGTTTTTAGTAGGGATTTAAGGGTAAAAAATTTCAGTGTGTTTCCAAACACGGCTCTGAAAAAACGGCTCTAAACACTTCAGAGCCCGATTTCAGGGGAAACAAACACGCCCTTAATCATGGATCTCCGCTACAGAGATCTCCTTCTGCGTGCCAAGTAGCTTGGCCATCTCGAAGATAACCACTCAAGCGAGAGCCAGAATCATACGCACAAGTAGGCCAAGCAACAGTGACACTCATGTATATTTGGTTCATTCTGACACACTGGACTCAAGGCGTCTATTCTACCGTGTCATTCTAATTGTCAGCTCTTTAGTTTTACCACAGCCCCTTATCTCGTTGGAAGTTTGGTATTATATTGTACCTTGCCAAGTAATCGTAGGGTTGCTTCAAACTGACCAAAGACAAGACACATTTGGTACGTCTATCAACGCACTGAGCCCTTGAAGTATGCCTATTGTTTGCAGCTGTAAAGCACTACCTTGAAATTATCACATTGGGACAAGTCTCGTTCAACTGTGAACATGTTGCAGGGTGTGTCGCAATCTTGCTTGTAGCTCTATGGACACGACTAAAGAACCCAATAAGAACTTAGCGACCAGATTACATTGGATTGTATCCATATTGGATTTGTCCTTGCGAACGGGCATCTCGCTGGCTTTATGTTATGTGTTTTGTCCCTCGTCAGAAAAACCGAAGAGTTGTTAGTCATAGAAGAGACGGGAGTGATGTCTTCTATGATGTGCCACACAACTGAAATCATGATGAGTATTCACGGCTTGGATGACAGTAGGTAGGTAAGTAGCCCGGCAGGTGCTAACCCCGGCATCGGCACCATTATTTCCTTCCTTCCTTCTTCATTCCGCCGCTGGGATTGCCGCCGGACGCATCTCCGTACCTCTACCTTCCTAAGTCTCCTTCATCAGATCTCATCCAAGCCCCAAATTCCTATGTAAGAGACTTCTGGCTTTGCCTTCCTTCAGTTCCAACCACAACCGCTTGGTCAAATTGCACAACGATTTACAGGACCTGCCGTTTAACCCCTGAAAACTCCAAGTCCAAAGACCTATTGCGTGTCTGGACTGGGAATGGTGTGTGTTGGGATACGTCAAGAGGCCTTTACATGCCTAGTAGCCGGTCTACCTATATGGTATCTGGGAACACTCTAGCCAACAGAAGCAATACAATGCAAACGGCTCGCCGCTGCCAGAAGGATCGGTTATTGTTTCCTGTGCTCTCTCTCTCTCTTATACTCCTCTGGAGAGGTGGTTGGTTATGATCGAACCAACCGTCGGTGATACTTTTGTGCGACTCTTGGTTGAACTCATTTGAACACTATTTATTGACTGACCCCCTTTCTGATCACCAAATGCCAGCACAAATGTAAATAAATTTAGACTGAGACGATGAAGGAGGAGAGCAGTTAAGTATATGATCGTTTCGAGCAAACAAATTTGGATATAACCTCACCCATAGATGCAGGGGCCATCTTGACAGCTTCCTATTGCACACCCGAGTTATGAGTGTAATGTACAACGGCAATAGAACTCATGAAAGACGCAGGGGCAAGAAACAGCAATTTCCTATGCCTTGATGTTGAGACATGGTGTCGTGGTTAGTCAGGTAGTCTTGGTATCCCGCCAAGCAAAACGTTTGATAGTCGGTATATAAAAGTGTTTCTGAAGAAGAGAAAGTAACTCATCCTTACAACTTTAGAGGATATTTTTGCTTGTCTTTCTTGATAACGCGGTTGAACCAGGGACTCCTCATTTTGAACATTTTGGAGTGATATGAATTGAATACCCTATTTGACCTCCCAAACCGGATCTTCACCATGAAAACTATCTTCGCGAGACTGAACACCGCTTAATCACCGCAGTCGCTCGCTTATATACAAGCCATAACATCATCAAATCCATTTTCTTTTCTTCCTCCCACATATCCAAGCCCTAAACGTCATATTCTCCCCTCACAGCCAGCCTAAAGCTCAACCCAACTCAAGTTCTCTGCATTAATTCAAGCAGTAGAAGCCCACAGCTCCCTCATCTGCACCAGTCCCGGGATACTTCCCAGCAACCCCACCACCATCTCGCTCACCAGCCCCTTCTCACTACTCCAATGTACCGTCAACGGCGCCCACGCCAAGTTCTTGGCCAGGTTACCCTTCCAGCTATCCTCCTTCCACCTTTCCTTCGGCTCCAGCGCCAGGAGCCGTCCAATCTCAATCCCGACATACGCAGCCCAGAACCTAGCTGACCACAGATATGCCTTTCCGATGCGCGCGGGTTGCCAACCCAGTACGCCCTTGGAGGAAAGGTAGGCGCCGTTTTCGAGAACTTGCAAGGCGACGCAGAGGGAGAATTGCAAGAGGGAGATGGCTGTCTCGGTTGTGGAGGGGAGTTGCTCCTTTTCCGAGGCAGAAAGGGCGGAAGAAGAAGAAGATGAAGGGTTGCGCTTCGCCCGCCAAACAGCCGCCGCTTTGGCAAAGACGCCCTTGCCCCAGAAGTACATGCCCACCAAAGCCCAGAGGCGGGTCATGGTACGGGCCTCGCTCAGCAGTGTGGAAAGAGCATTGAGGCGCTTGGCGTGGACGAGGGCTTTGGCAGCCGCAGGCGCGACAGCGGCAGCAGTCTTGGAGTCGACCACGACCGCGGTCTTGGCGCCCGGGGGCACGGAACCCGCAATGACGGCGAGCCACTCACGCAAGGACCGTTGGAGGATGGAGCGCGAGAGGACCCCCAAAATTGAGGCGGAGAACTTGGAGGTGTAGCAGAGTAGGAGGAGGACGGTGTCGATGCCCGTGGGGGTGGATAGGCACTTGTTGAGCCGCGCGAGAAAGGCGTCGGAGGCGTAGAGGGCCTTGGCCAGGGCGGCCGGCGACGGCTGGGGCTTCTTTTCGTTGACGGACGTGATGGGCTCGAGGGCGGCGGCGGCGGAGGGAGGGGGAATGGGTTCGCCCGAGGGAAGGTCGGCGACGGGCGCGACGGGCTCCGACGCGATGGCGGGCGCTGAGTCGGACATTATGATTATTGGCTTTGGGATGTGGATAGTTGGTTGAAGATATGCTCAGAAGGTCAAGATGTCGTCGGCTGGAGAGAGACCGTGAAATTGGAAAAGTAAGAACAAAATCACGGGAAACAACTCGGTCGGCTGGAAACTCCCGCGTGTATTAATTGCGGAGAAATTGATATGGGTTATGTCCTTCAAGAAGCTCGCTCGAGTTCGTCCCAAGAGATCAAGACCTGGATCCAAGGAAGATAAAAATCAGATAAACTGGTATGATGGTACGAATGGTCTGGGATTGGTGGTCGGTCAATGTGCCGATGCTCGGTCCGTAGAAGATGATGTGGAGAGTAGCTTGTCAAAGTGTCAAGGTTGTGTACGGGAGGGGACCGAGGCGAGGGGACAAGAAGGGACGAAGAGGGGGGTTCTTTGGACGGAGTCTCCATTACCACGTTTTCCGACTTTATTTGATGAACACAATCTTCAACGGTTCAACAAGGCCCTTACCCATGACTACACACACATTTGCTTGTAGTCAATTCTACTGGGGCAGTTTACGCAGACACACAATTGTTCGCAGTGTAATCATCATCATGAAGAGCAACGTTCAATTTCCCCAGATTCATTCAATTGATTCACTGTTTCCAGGCCGCGCGCACAGTTATCTGATCTTTGTGAATGCCTCGGTCCGCGGGGCAGTGTGGATGCTGTTCGAAACCCCTGTTCCTGTCAGTGGATTACACTTGTAGGGATAACGGCTGTACACGAGAAGTGCAGTCGATGAAGACGCGAGGCCTACAGCTGTCGCCAGACCGTCGTGACATTGGCACCTGGCAGGTCTGTTGACAGACTCCTGAACAACACTTGCAGTATTCATAACGACACTACCACGCCCCCAGCAAGCGTATATCATGAGGTAAAATGTATTCAAATGAAACGAAAGCACAAGATATGAAATGTTAAATATGTATTACATTATCTACTCTATATCCCAATATGTCCAGACCCAATGCTTTCTACCACGCGACCGGCACGTCCAGGCCCAAGGAGTCTTCCTAAAACACACCCTTCAAATGCCCCTTTGTCCTCCCCTTGTGCGCCTTTGGCGCCTTCACATTTACACTCAAGACCCGATCCATCGCGCTCTCCCACACGCCTTCCCCGACCACCGTTGGTATCTTCCTCCCTCTTAACCTCTGATCAATCAACCACATGCCCACCACAAACTCCTGCTTATCCAGCGCCCCACACTTGCGCCGATCCACAAGCTCCCAGACCTCCGCCAGCTCGTCCACCGGCAGCCGGCTCCGACTCCAGATATCCCTAACTACGACATTCACCACCAGATCCGCCTCGGGACCTTCCCGCGCCCGCGAGAGGTCGACCTGTCCCACCGAGTCGTCCGGCGGCGGTAGCGGCTGCCAGTTCTCCGGGTGCTCGAACGCGAAACCAGGACGCAGAAAGAGACCCCTGTTGCTGGCCCAGACGGCTTCGTACCGCCGTCGCTGACGGATTGTCATCTCGTCGCGCCAGCGCCGGCGTGCTCCCTCGTTGTGCGCATGTTTCTTGCCACCTAGGTGCTTTTTGCGGTGGCGGTGCGTTTGCAGGCGCAAGTCTTCGTCGTCCGACAGAGAGCGAGGGGCGCGGAGCGTCTTGAGGAGGCTGGCTGGCTGCGTATGCTCTGTCTGACGGCTGGGTCCTGTTCGGACTGGTAGGCTGTCGGCGGTGCGTTGTGGTATCAACGGTCTGGCGTGAGGAGGACTTTGGGTGCGGTGGCGGAGGTGAGGATGAGGAAGGTGATGATGACGATGGCCACGCCGGGGAGGAGGAACGGGTGGAAGGCCGGGTGATTCCAATGATGTTTGGGTCAGTGCTGTGAGACGTGATGACGCGAGGTTGCTTGCTATCATGGCATTCGTAAGGGAATCAAGGCTCATCTCGGGAGTTGGGCTGGCCCCAGTACTGTAACTGTATAGCCCGGTCCCGGGACGCAAGACAGGTGATGGTCGGGTTTGGGATGCCGGGGACCGCACAGACGCCGGGGTACTCACCCGGGACGCCCTGGATGAGGTGCTGGTATTGGCCCTGTCCAGCCGAGGGCGAACTCTCTCCAGTTCCTTGGTCGGCGTCTGAGGTCGTGGGGATGGGCTAGAGGAGGCTGAGACAAAAGTTTCGTCGGACGAAGTAGAGTTTCGAGACATATGGCGGTCCCCGAGACCGGTCTCAGCGCTTTGTTGAATTGTCTGAGACTGATCCACGCTCGGTGAGACAACCCGAGAACTTTTCCTGATGGTTGGCTTGTTATCAGGTCTCGGGCTGGTAACGGTTTTGTAAGTTTTTGGTACAGCTGGAGAAGATTCAAGTCGCGGTGTCGAAACGACTCTTCTGGGCTGTGGTGAGATAATCTTTGTCTCGAAAATTTGGGCGTGCTGAGAAACAGGCGGCGTTGATGGTCGTTTGTCCGTAGGAACCTCTACCCCTTGCTTCGACTGCACGGTTCGGGGCGTTGCAGGAACCTTTTGCTGGCTCTTTCGCTCACTCGTTCCCTCGAATACTATATCCTTTGCCCCCGTTACCGTGACTTTACCACCCTCTCTGCTAGGTTTGTCGCGGACATCCCCATTACGATTCCGTGTCTCACCTTGTTCCTGATTACTAGATTCGCCATCCCGTCCCATGGCTCCAGTTGGGCTTTTTATCGATTCCACGGTACTGAGTGAAATATCCCTTCTTGGCTTAGGTTTCGGTTTTAGGGCAACCTTCGACTTGCCTGATGCAACGGAGGGCACTCCTCCAGTTCCACATTGGTTTTCGATGCTGAGGCCTTCTGAGGGCGTGGGAGACGGCGACGTTAGTGTCTGATGATGTTGGGTTTTTGATGCCGGACGAGGCTTCTTCTTCTTCTTCTTCTTGTTAGCAGTTTCTGCCTCTGCCTGTTTACCGTCGAACATAGCGACCAAGGACGTGGTGGGTGGAATGGATGCTGTATCCGGATGCTGAGAATCAAGTGCGGGAGGAGAAGGTGTGTTTAAGGTCGCTACACTTGAACTGCGTGTCCGGCCTGATCGGGCATGTTGCTGAGAAAGGACCGGATGCGTTTGTGGATTTGCCGAGCTCAGTGATGGGCTTGGTGATGGCGAACCGGACCTACTGGCCGCCAGAGTTGCAGCGATCCAAGAAACCGATTTGGGTTCAGGACTGGGCTTTGAGGTTGCTGGAGTAGGAGGATGAGAATAAGAGTTGTCGACTGCTTGGCTAGATAGAGAAGCTAGGGATGGCCTCCTCGAGCGCATCGCTGGCCGTTTGCTTGGCGCATGATCGTTTGCCCGATCTTCGACATGTTGTTGTTGCTGTTGCGAGCTCCCGCCGGTGGCCTGACTATGCAGTTCCTGCCTGTTTGTCCTGCCGGCCGATCCAACACTTGAAGTTGAAGATGGCGTTGAGGTGACCACCCGTGATGCTTCGTTCTTGGAGGTGGTTGGAGGTGAGTGCTCTCTAGCAGCGAGGGTGGCTGCCAAGCGTGCCCCGTTGCTGCCACAAACTGTCCTAGAGGTTGATGTCGAAACGGACCCGGTCCCTGGAGTTGGTACCCGTGAACCCCCATGGGGCCGTGGAACGGCGGTATCGCTGCCTTTAGCCGCCGTCCGTTGCTGATGTTGAAAAGCCAGTGTTGCGCCCTTGAGAGCAGCAGCAAGACCGGTAGTAGCGGGATTCGTAGATGCCCCTGTCGGGGACGAGGTTGGGCTGGCAGGACCACGACCATCGCTGGAGGTCACCGACGCAGACATGAAGTTGGAGATTCAGGGATAGTATTGGTGTTGTTAACAGCTAGAGCCTTTCGACTTGCTGCTGACGGGATATCTTGAAAGCCTCGGGTCCCCTCCACGGCGTGACAGCAAAGTGCCAAAGGCAGAAAGTAGCAGAACTGAAACTGGATCTGCGGTCTGCGTTTGGCAACGTGGGTCTTCTCTCTTGTTTTTTTACGTGGACATTATGTCCAGCATAGGAGGAATAGAATGGGGTCGTGGATGGATTCTAGGTTGTTTTAGCGATTGTTAGGCCGTTCGTTTGTTCGGAACCCCGGCCGGTCCAAGTGGAAACTCGGACTATTTTGACGTGCAGCTGAGTGACGACGGACGGGCTTTGGGAGTGATGCCGGCCCGAGTGATGGATGACAACATGCAACAGCAAACGAGTCCGCAAGTAAGGCTCCAGAGGGGCAGCAGAGATGCCCCTGGAAGCGATCCCGATGATTGGCAGGCACGATTTGGCACTTTCACTTCAACTTTCGATCCCTTCCCGTATTGTTGTTGTCTTCCCGCTCTTTGTAAAACTGGCTGTCAGAGGTAAGTCCGTCAGTACCTGCCTTACCACTCATTCGACCGACCACACAACCCGTCTCTAAAGCCGGTCTGCTGATTTGGCCTGATATTTGGGAACAGGATCGCCACGAGTGGTCTCTTCTAGCAGAAAGAATATTACCTACCTACCGACGTTGTACCTACCTACTATTGTGTAAGGTACGGTTCGGGAGGTTACCAGGTGTCGAGCCCGTGACGCGGGCACATCCCGCCAGAGGTGTCAGCTCTATGTAATCCGCAGGCGGTTTCAGCAGGGTCTGTGCGATGTAACAGTGGACCAATTAAGCGGGGCGCCCCTGCATAGCCGCACAGAGGCAGCAGCTAAGCTACTCATGCGCCCTGAACTACAATATAATGATCCTTGGTTCATACCTGGAGATGGAGGTCCAAGCACCTAAACCGTGGAAGTTTTGAATCAAAACACAAAAACAAAAAAAAAAAAGTCCAAAAAGAAGATTTGATGGTCATCGTGCGACGTGGGCCTGATTCGAACAGACGCTCCCGAAGGAACAAGATTTCTAGTCTTGCGCATTAGACCACTCTGCCACCACGCCAATTATTGTTTGAACAGATTGGATGTTGTGTCTACATAGCCCCGTACGGTGTGCAACACATTGACCGAGACCATCGGACGAAAAGACAAGTGGGTGGTGTTATAAAGTGACCGCATTTGGATGTGAGATATTGCAAATCTGTTTTTGCTCGCTTGTCCGCGCAAGGCAGAACCGCTTAGACAGCTTCGATAACCGGAATAATTTGATGCATGGCCAATGATCGAAACAAACGTCCAGAGAAAATTCCTTGAACGCTTCCCATTTCCTTCCACTCATCACTTCATGCTACCTACTTCATCCATACTTCTTCCCACCAACCGCTGAAACGTCCCAAAAACCCAGGTAGATGCAGTAGAAAAAAATAATGAGACAAGAGAAGAGAACGAGAAAAAAGCACCATATGAATGAAAAAGAATCAGAAACAAAATGGGAATCGAAAGCCACAAAATAACAAAAAAACAGAGAATCCATCCAAATCAAGCGTAACCATGCCGTATCCCAATCCTTACACTCAGTGATAATGAGAATACCCATCCTCATCAGCCCATTCGTTTTGCCCGCCCATAATCCTATCCCCATCAGCATCCACCAAGGCGACACGGCCTGCATGCGCTGGTGGTTGCAGTCCGCTCTGCTTCATTGCTCGTAATTGCGCCGCTTGCTGAAGCTGGCTAAACCCAAGTTGTGACTGGCTATGTTGGCTAGCATGCGACTGAGGCCGTGAATCATCCGGCGTCGACCGTCTAAAGCCTCCCAGACTGCGAGCCCCCCGCACCTTATGCAGGTACAGATTTCCAGCCTCTTCCTCAAGATCTGAACCGTCCTCATACGTCTGCCAGTTCTCTGACTCCGACACCGCCGAGCCTGCAGATTCACGGTCGGAAACTTGGCGCACAGGAGGAGGTGGTGCTTGAGGCAAATGCTTGAACGATGACTGTGATGCAGTATAGGAAGTCAAAGAAGAATGGGAAGTGCGAGATGTGTGCGAAGAGATCGAGTTGGAATGACCAGGCCGAGTGGAGGACCTGGAGGAGCCCCTATCATCGTACATATCTTCCGCCTCAACTTCCCGAATAAGGGTGATGCTCGACCTAAGATTAGCACCATTGTAAGGGTTGTTCGGCTTCTCGAGATCCGGAGGTGGTAGGAGGGAACGCATCTTGGGCGGCGGAGCTCTCAGTAATGGAGCGCCCCGGAGCGTTCCGGTCCCATCCACCCTCGATTCCGGCCGACCAGTGATACGGTCTACCGGGGCGCTGTTGATAAAAGTAAGGTTTGAAAGGGGTGCTCGAGCTGGAAGACGGGTCGGGCTACCGGACTTCCCATTTATAGTCGCGCTCCTTGTCGGGAGTGACGGAGTGCTAGCGCTTGGTGTCTTGGTAGGGCTTCTTGGTGGTTGTCCCCTCAATGCGTGGGCACTATCGGCACGGCTCAGAGTGGCGGCCCTTTCTCTGGGCTTGGCTGCCGAAGCAGATACGCCGGGAGTCTTGGGTCTGCTCGTCCCAAGCCCGGTCTTGGGGTCTTCCTCCTCAACGGAATCGAGGAACCGTTCTCCATGAACCAGGAATGGCCGGCCATATTCCCCCTCCCATTGTTCCAAAGCCTTGCGGAGATCCACCGTAACCTTGGGCAACTCCTTTGCAATGCGCTTCCTCATTTTCTCTTCCCGAAGGAGCTTGCCAGGATCGCGCCTCTCGCCCTTCTGGCCCTTCATCAACAAGCGTGAAGCATCCTGGCTTGAAGCTGCCAGTTCCTCGCGGTCAGCAACAAGGCTCTTGTACTTGTCAACAAGAGACAGCAACGGAGCTCTCTGCTCTTTCAAGGTCTCTAAACGAGCGATTTCGCGCTCGTGTGCCTCCAGCAGAGCATCGCTGTAGACGTCAGAGAAGGCTGGGGTGAACTCGAGCATCTCATCCTCAGAGTAGTACAGAGCATCCCACAGCCCTTGGAGCTTGACGCGAGCATCCTCAATGAAAATGTGCATGTTCTGGCGCTTCAGCTCGTTCATGCGTCCCAGCTCATCTTCAAACTCGTGGATTTGTCGCAAGCCGCAGCCACGGTTGCTGTTAAGGAAGGCCTTGCGCACACTCTCGTCCACCCCAAGCTTTTCCCAGAGTTCTCCAACTGTCGCCCTGAGATTGGCCAGACGGTTTTCTCGGTTCTTCTTCTCGTCGGCCAGCTTGTCTTTCTTGGCTCGGAGTCGTTCAATGTCCACTTGGTGAAGACCCAACTGCTCTGGCGCATCCCGGTAGTACTTGACTATAGCACCATCCGTTTGCGCTTGTGGCGTCCCAAGCTCAGCCCACAGCTGGATAATATCTTCTGACACAGACTTAACGGCTGCGACCCTGCGAGTGTACTCCTCAAAGACTCTGGTGAACTCCTCATCCAGCTTCTGCACATATGAGTCGGTCAAATCAAAAGTTGTCGATACTGGCTGATCGGATCCGGTGGGTGGTAGTTCGAGCTTCACAAAGCCTGGTTCCAGGTGTAACGAATACGATTCAAGGGCTTGCGCCAATTCTGTCACAGTGTCAGTACAAGTCTGTGGTTTTTGTGGGAAGAGCTGGCGGAAAACGTACTCTTGATCTCCTCGTACCGCTCTCTGTGCGCCCTGGCTACCTGACTGTGCTTTTCTTGGAGACTCTGGATACATTGGACGAGTGGGTATGTGACCTTGAGTCCATCGTCTTCGAGTGACCGCCGGGCCTTCTTGGTGTCATCCATGGCCGCCTCCATTTGTCGGATTGTTGTGATTATCCCCTGGGCCTCTTCAATCATCTCCTGCTTCTCGTTTGTCACTCGGCGCACCTGATTCTGCAGTGTCTCAGAGAGAGCTGCAAAAAGCTTGTATGAGAGCGGATTAGCCGATGCTCGCCGTGCCTTGTGCGCAATTGTCGCCTCTGCTTGTTTTTGCTCACCTCGGCTTCTCTATGCTCGCGATCATTGTGGGCAACACCGATCTCGTCAAATAGGCCATGCAACTGACCGACAATGGTGTTGACCTGTTGCGCCAGGTAGCTGGTATCCATGTTGGGTAGACTGTTATTCTCTCGGATTTGGTAAAACGAGTGTGGGCGGTATGAGCAGTATGGTAAAGGTGACGGCGGTGAGGGTGTCGTCGTCTGGCGGGAGCGTCGTGTCGAACAGGACGTGGTCGCTAATTCAGGCGCGGGGCGTGCCGATAGGGTGATATTCGGCTGCAGCAAGAGGCCTAAAGTATGCGACTTATGACGTGCAGCTGGGACTTTGGGTGCTTCTGGGCTGCAGCTATGAGGTCTAAAACTACACGGCGGGCAGCTGGGTTTACACAAGTCGAGTCGACGGGAGATTCCACCGCAGCAGGCGGGTCGAAAGTATATCAATGCGATGCGCTCAAGTCAAGAGGCATACAGACATTCCATGCAGAGGGGAAGGAAGAGCAAGCGACGGTGGATGAGGTCGCAGGAAGAAGTAAGAAAAGAATGCGCACTGAAAGCGACGGTGGGTGAGGATGCGGTGATGAGAAAAGAAAGTTGGAGAAAAAGGGAGAGAAATGGCGGAAAGAAGGAAGTATAGTAGTGACAAGGTGGTGAATAGTCCCAGGAACAATTGAGGAAACGACGGGTTGTGGCCGAAGCTTTTGACGGTTGTGAGATGGATGCACTTTTTCGCTCTGAATTCGGGTTCGACACTGCTGAGACTCTTGGGTACTTTTTAGGTACGTACGTAAGTACCTAGGTCGTGTACATACATAGCAGAGTACTAGCCTGTGTATTACCTACCTCTCTCTAGTCTCTACCTCTATTCGACAGGATCCGGGTCCAACCACCAACCACTCAGCCCACCTCACTGGCCTTTTTTTTTCTTTCTCAGTGTTTGCGACGGACAGAG